AGAGAGAGAGAGAGAGAGAGAGAGAGAGAGAGAGAGAGAGAGAGAGAGAGAGAGAAAAGGAATGGGTCTTGAAGAGTGGGTAGGTTTTGAAAGGGCAGGGACGGGTGGAGGACAGGTTCTAGAGGGGCATTATAGTCAAAAGCATGAAAAGGAAAGGATGGTTTTGTGTCTAAAAATAAGCAATGTCATCTCAACTGGGTCCTGATATGAGAAGATGCATTTCAACCTGATAAACAAGAAGAGTCCGACCACGACCCAGGCCGGACTTGGAGAATACTGACTCAACACCACTGTGCAGAGTGGCTAGCCAGGACCAGCCTACCCAGTGTGCTGAAGATGAGAGAGAAACAAGCACAGGCACCCCCACGTCCCCAAGCCCAGAGAACAGGAAAGCATGGAGTTGGGGCTGAGGAAAAGGATGCTGGGAGGTGTCACTCTTAAAACCACATTTTTCGTGAGGCAAGAGATCCCTCCTTTCTAGACCCGTACCTAGGTCTTCAGACACCCTACTTGCTGTCATGAATTAGAAACACAAAGTCAGGTTTCTTCTCCAGGAGGACTTGCTTTCAATATTCACAAAATATTTCCTGGCAGCCATTCCACAGGGACCTGCAGGAGCAAAACAAAAATATTTGTGATGAAGGCCTGGAGACTCTTCTTCCTCATTCAGCACTTCTAAATGACCCCGAGTGTGACTTTCCTGTGACAGCCCACTGCTTCCCCTCATCATGGTATCTTCAGAGTCACATTCACTCTCTGAGTTATTTCCTGCAGCAGCATCCACTACTTCCTGCCACGTTCCTCCTGCTCCTGAACATCCTCTCTCACATCAATGACTACCAGAGTCCCGTGGCCCGCCCCCACCCCTGCCCCAACTGCCTGATGATAATTGTGATGTTCTTCTTCCTCCCTGGCCCTACTTTCCAGGCCACTGGGTCCTTCTAAAGCAGCAGCAACACCACATCTCTGCCTGGTTTCAAACTCTACATGCTCCTCACACTCAGACTGACACCAGAAGTCAGTGTGGCCTGCCTGGGCTTTTGTGGTCTGGTCACTGCCTCCCACCCTTCCAGCCCACTTGCTCTCCAGCCGGTAACCTAGCTATTTGTACATTCATGGAGCTTTGCCAGATCCAGCTTTGCTCTTGGCTTCTTCTCTGCCTGGAATGTGCTTCCCTGACAGTTGCGTAGCCCTGCTCACTTCCTCTGTTTAAATGCTGTTTTCAACGCTACCATCTCAGAGAAGGCTCTCTGGGCCCTACTGTTACTCTCTACTCGCTGACCTGAACCATTTTTCTTTGTGGCATTAACCACATTCAAGACACACGTGGTGTCTGTGTTTTTCAGTAGACTACAAGCTCCATGAGGCTAGTATCTTCATTTGGTTCACTTCCCTAGGCCAGGATAACGTCCAGATTCTCAATAAACATTGGTTCAGTCAGGGGCTGGTCCAAAATGAGTCAATAACCAAGACCTAAATAGTGGAAGAGAACTGACTCCTGAAAGTTGTCCTTTGACCTCACAGTGCCTACATACAAAAAATAATAAATAAAACGGAAATTAAAAATTAACATGTATCAAATCAACAAATATGGAGAGATTGTCTCTAGAATATACCATCTGTCTTTTCCATTGTTTCAGAGCCCTTTGCTCTTTGCAAGCCAGGCTTTGACCTAACAAAACACCCAAGTCTCACCCTTGGAGCATCATGGAACTACAATTTTTCTTCTTCCACCTCAGATCCTGGCTACTTGCATGAACATGCCCAACGAGCTGCTCTTGAGCCCTCTGCCTCCCTCCATCTTACCCCCATCTTCACCTTACCTCTGCACGGATGCCTGCTTTTAGTCTGTCCTCTCTCTAGACAGGCCTCGTGCCTTCCTTTGCCTCATGGGCATCCTGATGGAACATCGGAATTCAAACATTTCTTCTGAGGTGTCAGGAATCCGTGCACTGGCCTGTAGTTTCAGCATTTGAGAAGTAAAGGCAAAGGATTGTGGGTTCATGGCCAGTCTGAGCTATATAGCAAGACATACACACATACATACATACACATATACATACATACATACATACATACATACATACATACATACATACATACATGGGAGAGCTAGCTGTTGCCATGAAGAGATTTGGGCTATGACTGTCAGAGCTTCTGTATCCAACATAAGCTAGAAATCTAGATATCCAGTCTCATGCACTTCCCACAGCCCCGGAGCCGCTCTCTCTCCAGTATGAACCAAGTCAGTTTACTCACTGCAAACATTCCCGTTGATGGCTATTCTTGTTTGTCAACTTGACTACATCTGGAATTAAACTAAAACCCAAAAAGAGAGGGCACATCTGCGAGAAATTTCTGCTTAATTTGAAATGGGAAAATCTCCTTCTAATCCAGGTCTTTGAGGTAGGAGGACACACCTTAGATCCAGATCTAATCTGGGCCACACCTTCTGCTGGAAGCCTATATAAGGATACGAAGAAGGAAGCTTTGTGCTTTGCCTGCTTGCTCTCGCCTGGCTAGCAAGTCCATTCCTTCACTGGCATTAAAGCCTACTTCTTCAGGACTCCAGGGTATACTGAAACTGAGACATTCAGCCTCATGAACCAAGCAACTACTTACTGGATTCTTGGATTCATAGCCAGCCATTGTTGGATTAGTTGGACCACATCGTATAAGTAAGTCATCCAAATAAATCTCCTTCCTATATATATTTAGAGAAAGAGATTCATTGTATAAATTCTGTTATGCTAGAAAACCCTGACTAATGCAATTCCTTACAAGTTTTCTTTTTAACTCTTCCTGTCCAATATGCCTTCCTACTGTTCTTCACCTGAAAATCCTGGCTCCTTCCAGTGGTTTGGGTCAGTCTGAAGCATCCTGAGATCACTATTGTCTAATCCTCAGTGATCTTCTGTTCTCATACTACCGACAACCCCTGGGCAGCACGTAGTGAAATAAGTAAACCATGCGTCAGAAGATCTGGGGCCAGTTTGCACCAATTATGTGAATTTGGCAAATCAAGGCTGTAGCTTGATTTTTCCGCCTTGCCCACAGTCAGGACAAACCTCTGTCACCCGCCAGTCCCACAGCCGCTCAGACCCAACCAAGTAAACACAGACACGTATATTGCTTTCAAACCGTATGGCCGTGGCAGGCTTCCTGCTAACTGTCCTTATCTTGCTAACTGTGCTTTTATCTTAAATTGATCCATTTCCATACATCT